GGCTCTGTGCTGACAGTTTGGAGCCTGGAGCCAGTTTCAGATTCTGTGTCTCCCTCTCTCTCTGCCCCTCCCCTGTTCATGCTCTGCCTCTCTCTGTCTCAAAAGTAAAGAAACGTTAAACAAAAAAATCAGCCAGTCTTAAATTTCACCTTCCCTTCTCCCTATATATTTACAAAAAGAAGAAAACAATAATAATAATCACTATCATCAACTGAGGTCTTGCTTGTATCATATACCACACTAAGCACTACAAATACTACCTCACTTCATGACCACCGTTAACCCCGGTGAAGAAAGGGAGGCTCCAAAAGGTGAAGAAAGGTTCTCAATATCACACCGTTAGAGGAGGCAGAACAAGGTTGGGACCGAACTTCCTTTGACTCCAGAGCCTGTAAATACATGACCGTAACTCTGAAGTTAGGTCCACTGCCTCTAGCCCCACCTTTGTTATGATGGTGGCAAGACGAGTGGCTCTAACACTGATCCGCTGGGCAAGCTTGCATCGTGGATTTTCCAGGACCATCCTGCTGATTTTAAATGTCCTGTCTCGTTGTCCTCAAAAGTCACCAAAATGTCCCAGAAATTCTAATTGCTCTTCAAATAGTAAGTAAATGTTATAATAAAATACACAGAATCCCCCCCCCCGAACCATTTATCAAATCATATTTCCTTAATCGTTATTCAGAAAATATGGCCCAGATACCGCTGTGTCACTTAGTCCCTTAGATGGGTTATGGTGGTTTGATATCTACTGTATTCATTAAATTCCACCCTGCCCAAATGAGCTTAGTGCAGCACTAAGTGAAAGGTGAGGGGGACCATAATCGTAGTCATTTGATATTTAGGGCACCTCATACTGGATGGCAACTCCAGAGACACAATTTAGGACCTAGGGAAGGTATGTAAATTACATCCCAATTAAGCTGACTTTAAAAATAAGCAATAACCTGGGCTGCCTGGGTGGCTCAGTCAGTTAAGTGTCTGACTTTGGCTCAGGTCATGATCTCATGGTTTGTGAGTTCAAGCCCCGCGTCGGCCTCTGTGCTGACAGTTCAGAGCCTGGAGCCTGCTTCCGATTCTGTGTCTCCCTCTCTCTCTGCCCCTCCCCGCCTCACATTCTGTCTCTCTCTCAAAAATAAACAAACATTAAAAAGATGTTTTAAATAAGTGATACGTCTTCTTCATAAGGTAAAGGCAAACCCCATTCTTTTTTTTTTAATGGTTACTTATTTTTTGAGAGAGAGAGAGAGAGCAAGCAGGGGAAGGGCAGAGAGAGAGAGAGGGAATGTATGCTGACAGCACGGAGCCTGATGCGGGGCTCAGACCCACAAACCACGAGATCATGACCTGAACCAAAGTTGGACACTTAACCAACTGACCCACCCGGGCTCCCTAAGGCAAACCCCATTCTTGGCTCCTGCAACATAATTTGCATCTATGTGGTCCATACAGCAAAGGAACACTGCTGACTTGGGTGTCCTGGACGAAACAGTTGATTGGTGGCCGATCATGTTGTTCCTCACAGACTCGCCACACTGCGCACGCTGGCCTCCCACAACCTTGGATGTGGCTGCCTTCCCACTGCCGCCCCTCTGTGCCCGCTCTTCCCTCAGCGGCTGCTTCCCTGAGTGCCTCCTTCGGATGCTGCGGATCTCTGCTTAAATGTCACCTCCTCTGAGAAGCTCTCCTTGATTTTCTGGAACCACATCGAATGCCTGCTGTTAGGCTGTCACCGTGCCCCCACTGGTTTGCTTCACTGACCTTTCCCTTTTTACTCTCTGCTTATTGACTTGTTTATCACCTGTATTTCCCTGGGGGCGGAAGCCCCGCGAAAGCAGGTTCTGTCGTTGCTTTGTTCATGGTTGTATCCCCAGCACCTCATTCGCTTCCTAGCACAAAGTGGGTGCTATAGACCACATGTTTATGTCCCCTAAAGTTCATGGGTCGAATTCTAATCCCCATGGGATGGTAATTAGACGTGGAGCCTTGGGGAGGTAATTGGGTCATGAGAGTGGACAGTCTTTTATAAAAGAGACCTCAGAAAGCTCCCCCACCCCTCAGCCACGCAAGGACGTATGTTGAACTGCACTGAAACCCAGGTTGTGTGAAGAGTATTTGCAAGTACGTTTCTTCTCTGTGTCGAGACGCTTCTGGGGTGATTCCATGGGGTTTGTGGAACCAGGTCGTGTCCACTGTGACCAGAACATCGGGGTGTGCCCCAACACCTTTGCCCTGTGCTACCCCAAAGCACGAACTCAAACACTTCTCAAATATGAATCAGGTTTGATCAATACGTTATGCAAGACCTTCTCCCAGTCAGTGAATTATTAATTAATCAGTTAAAGCTTTTCCTAATGAAGAGGTGATTTAAAAAGGTAATTTCCTACTTAAACCATAGTCCAAGATTCAAATATTGATTTCTTCTTGGGTAATTATAGGCCAAATGTTTAAATGGTAGGTTTATATATTAATTAATTAAGTATTTATCTCCATTAATCAAAAACCGTGTCTGCAGGAGCCACCAAATAACATTTCTCCCTCGGGGTTTTCTTAACACACGTGATTTGGTGCATGCACTGGACCCTTCGCACCCGATATTCTCTCTGCCTGGGACAGTCCTCGCCCACAGCCTCATGGCTCACTCCTGTAATGCCTGGGACACCTGCTCAAAGTTCATCATATCGAGAAGTTCATCCCCGACCACCCGATGCAGCAATCTGTCCATCAGCACCCCCCCCCCCCCCGGACTCTGCCTTTCCCTTCCCTCAGTCGTGTTTATTTCCACCTGCCCTACTGAGTATGTGCCTTATCTGTGTGGTTCATGGCAGGCCTCTCTTCATTAGAATATAAGCACAAGGGGAAGAGTGGGTTTTTTTTTACTCTTCTACATACGGTTATATCCCCAGGGCCTAGAACGGTGCCTGGAACATCATAGATGATCGATCAATGCGTGTTGCATGGATACTCAATAGTTTGATGTCATTTACAGTTTCAGCCACTTCCCTGTTTCCCCTCCGGACAGGACGTGCGTGTTTTCTCAGCTGGTGTCACTGGCACGGGAGAGGTCAGAACTCAGGAGCCGCGTGGCGTGAGGGGTAGCTAACATTCCCTGAACTATGTGCACCCACCTGGCGTGTCTCCGAAATTCTCAGCACAAACCCAGCAAGTCCCAGGTGGAGGCAACCTGATGGAAGGACCATTGCCCTGTGTCAGGCGAGGGGCTTATCTCCCTGAACCGCAACGATCCCGACTGTAAAATGGAGTCAGCACTGCCCTGCCTCCCTCATCAAGCCGTGGTGTGGGTGCGGTGAGAACCCTCTCCGTCCTCCGTACCCTCCCCCACTCCCGGCCCC